AAATCATGCATCTCTGAGCTTTAGCACTCAGTTTAAATTATATTCTGGGAATTAATACTAGAGTTGAAAAGCTGCCAATCTACAACCCATCCCGTGTTTATCATTAATCACTGTCTTAGTCTGATACAATGTCAACACTAAACAGACATTCCTTGGCACCGTTTTGGTATTCCTATTAGTGCTTTGGCTTTAAAGGCTGCCTACACTTTGCCAAAGAGCAAACAGCTTTGTCAGCAATGTAAGCCATGTACAGAACAAGCACTCTCAACCTCCTAAAGCATTATTTAGGGATGCCCTGCAAAGCAGGACAATGTTAACAGGTTGGCAGACTAGATAGTAAAACTCTCACCACCTCAACTTTCAAGTCTTGCATTACTTGCCCAAATATGTAACTACTCAATTTCACACTGGTTAGTATGGTGGTTAAGAGCATGAAAACTTGTAGAGAACTTCTGGACTAGTATAAAATATAAGACGAGCGGCCCAAGGGTGAAATCCAAGTAAGAGAGAAAGACAGCTGTGCAAGTGTCTGCTTGCAGATGGTGAGGGTACTTACCTTCAGGTTATGGAGGGTTTCTGACCATTCCATGGACCCTATCTGAGGTATGGTAGTGAGGAGCAGACTTTTGGCTTTATTGGCATTTTCTTTCAGGGTCTTTAGGACCCGGTCCACCGAAACCTAGAGAAACAACAGCACAGGATGTTACTGGCAATTTATCATCCTACCGTTCTCCACAGAACATTTTCCTGAGCTCCTTCCTGATCTATAAAGTCAGTTTATGCCAATTCCAATCCCCTGAACACCAGTTCTGCATTTTTTAAGGCAGACTTGGTCCCAACGGGGGAGGTCTTGGGAGAAACCCAATGACATCTCGGAAGAGAACACTGTCTCAGATGTATAATGTGTTAGCATGGTCTGGAAAGATGTGGCCAATTCTCCTCCTGTCCATAGTAAAATGGATTCCAGTCTTAAAATTGTTCCTACACTGGCTAACCAATCCTAAGATAAGCACATGGCTCTTCTTCTTCTTTTTTATTTTTTTTAAGATTTTACTTATTTGACAGAGAACACAAGTAGGCAGAAAGGCAGGCAGAGAGAGAGAGAGAGGAGGAAGCAGGCTCCCTGCTGAGCAGAGAGCCTGATGCGGGGCTTGATCCCAGGACCCTGGGATCACGACCCGAGCTGAAGGCAGAGGCTTTAACCCACTGAGCCACCCAGGCGCCCCAGCACATGGCTCTTAAGACTTTGAGTTAATGAAGAGAAATGCTGGAATCAGAGTATTATCATTTCTACAGCTCCCAGTGAATTAATGGATGGGCAGCTAACATCACAGAACAACAAAAATCCCAAACCAAACAAAAAATCCACTTTAATGAGCTTCCTGACAGGAAAACTGAACACGAGTTTTGACATCTAAATTGGATCAAATCTCTGGAACCAGCTGTCAATTTACAAAGAACACAGAGGACTGAGAAATCTGTCAAACTACCCCAAGGAGATGATTTCAGTGATCCAGAAGGTTTCCTGTGGGAAACGCTAGAAGACAGATGACCTAGTTTCTTTTTAGAACACTTGGAAGTAAAAAACTGTGATACTTGAGGTAACTAGAAACATGAACTATGCTTTGATGTATTAAGGAATTACTGCTGGGATGTGACAATGATAACGTGGTTATGTTAGATGTTTATGGCTAAAATCATGGATCAGAGTCCAGATGAAATATAACTGGCCCTAAGCTGGTATGTTCACAGTTGAAGCTGGATGTTGATTTACAAAAGCTCATACTGTCCATCGACTTTTTGTATATGACTGAAATTGCTTCATAAGGATGTCAAAAAAAGTTGTGAATATAAAATCAATGATCAGAGGTGGAGTACTTGCCACACCTCAAGGGTATCTGAGGTTGAGGGGCGCAAAGATTACACCTTTCTATTTTCTGGAGTTTATATAAAGTCCAGATCCATCCCACAAACACTGAGGTGTGTTTAGAAAAAACTGACGAGCACTGGAGCAGGTGGGAGTCCCATCACTGAGGGGATACAATGCAGTCAGCAGATGGGAGCTGCCAGGTACACGCAGAGGCTTGCTTGAAGCAGTCTTCCAGTGCAGGCTCATGAAGCACCCAAGAAATTTACCTTGTATTTATTTTTTTTCCTTATACTTTTCACACTTTTCCTTTGATAGTTCTTTTTTTTTTTTTTTTAAGATTTTATTTATTTCAGAGCAAGCGAGAGAGAGTGCAAGAGTTGGGGGGTGAGGGGTAGAAGGAGAGGGAAAAGCAGACTCCGCTGAGCAGAGAGCCCGATGTGGGATTCGATCCCAGGACCCTGAGATCATGACCTGAGCCGAAGGCAGACGCTTAACCAACTGAGCCACCCAGGCGCCCCTTCCTTTGACTGGTATTTCTGTACAGACTCTGATCTCTTTTTCTCGTCTTTATTCCAGGTGTTGGGCTCCACCCAAAATGCCTGTTGTACTAACCTCCTCACAATAAAATCTAAACCTCTGTTGAAAGTCCAGTTCAAATGTCAAGTTCTCAAACATTTCCACACACCCTCCCCCATCCATCATGGTGGCCATGTGAACTACAGAAGCTATCGGAGCTGCTCTACATACAGGATTTGGTTCCATTCTCCCAGAAATCCTGCAAGGTCAGAACTGTAAGTAAACAACCTCCACCCCTCACCTCTGGCTCCATCCCACCAAAGAGTAAATGGATCAAAAAATGTGCCCAGTGTTCCAAGTAAATGGAGCAACAGGAATCTGAAGGTGGGTGTCGGCAACTCGAAAATCTTTGTACCACCTCAAGCTGCACATCTGGTTTAAAGCACAGTGACATGCATGGCTGGTTGATGACGCCATTTGCATCTGTGCTTTCCTTGTGGCATTTAGCATCATTATCTGCCTTCATGCCTTACCGCTGACACAAAGCTCAGTCTCTCTGCTTTCAACTCAGTTGGCTCCAACTGACTGACAGCTTTCCCTTAGGTGACCAGAGCTGCCAAGTCAGAGATGTTGCTGTGTCAGGATCTGGAAGTTTCTTACACACAAAATACCCCAGTAGTCAGCAACGGTTTATTACACTGAGGAGTCGGTACAAGGAATTCACACAAAACAAAGAACCTGTGTTCAAGTCCAACCAAACTCCATATACAAAGACGGACTGACAATAAGGATATCTTACTATTTTATAGGAAAACGGACAGTGCAACAAGCTGCTCTGAGACGGTGGGAAGGAGAAGAGGTCACCTCCCATAAATGTGCTCACAAGAGACAACCCCACACTTGTTCTTTACTTTAAAACCTCTTGACTGTAATTTTGGCCCTTTCTCTATTTTATTTCTTAAAGATTTTTATTTAGTTATTTGAGAGAGTGTGTGTGTGTGTGCGCGCGCACACACAAGCAGAAGGCAGGGCAGAGAGCCAGGAAGAGAGGGAATCTCTAGCAGACACCCTGCTGAGTGGTGAGCCTGACATGGAGCTCAATCCCATGACCCTGAAATTAAGAGTCAGGTGCTCAACCAACTAAGCCACCCAGGTGCCACCTCCCTCCCCATTATAAAATGAGACCGGGGACAGGACAAATGATCCAGTTTCTTCAAGTGAAATGCAAGGAGTGAAAAGACAGGGGAATCTTAGATGAAAGGAGATTTAAGAGGCAGATCATTTAAATGCAGTATGGGGATTATAAGGAGTACGAGGTTATGTCAGACAAGAAGGAAAATGTAAACAGTCTGGATTTGGTTATATTAAGGAAGTAATAATATTTTTTGGTACAATAGTGGTATTGTAGTTATTTTATTATTTAATATTTTAATAAAGGCATTCTGGAAATTTTTTTTTTCTGGAAAAATACATCAAAATCATGACTGCAGGGGAGAGAGAAGTGAGTAGGAGCATATATAGGGCATAAGACTGGCTGTGGCTGGTAACGTTGTATGATGGGTAACTGGGGGTTCCTTATACTAGCCTTTCTCCTTTTACTGACGTTTGAAGTTTTCCACAGTGAACATATTTATTTTGGAAGCCTGACTGAAGTGGTCCAGTGTCTTCACATACCAGCTAGACACTGGTATCTTTCCAGCCCAGAACCCCTCACTGACATCCCCTGTGAAATACTTACATGGTCTACACAGTGCTGTCTCCCTCCCTCCTCTCCACCCCACCCAAGTGTGCCTGTCTTTCCTACCACCCTTCCACTGGAAAGGCTTCCCAGACTTCACAAATATTTGGTTGGGTCAACTGGCTATGTGCTTCTCACCATACTAACTCTCTATAACCCTGAGCTTTCTTATATTGGTTGGCTCATCTCTGCCCTTCCCCGCTAACCCCCCAAAAGCCCCAGAATAGTCGTTCCTCACAGGCTTGTTTCTCTGCTGTCACAGTCTCACACCAACATCATGCAGTCACGGTAGGTTAAATAGAGAGAGTACTCTTACCAGGCAGAGGTAATGAAAACACACACAATACCCAGTAGCACATGATAAGGAAATTATAACCCAAACACACTTTCATCCTTAAAGTAAGGCCCAATCTCACTATGATTCCCGTCACACCTACATGTTCACGATGTACTGTTTATCTGTGGATAAAAGTGTCTTTTTCTTCTCTGTGGAGATCTTTGTATCTTTAAAAGAGAACTATAAAGAAAATACCTGACCATATATACAGGGCTGACTTTAAAACCTGGCAGAAAGGCACTCTCTGGAACTAATACAAGAGAACAAATGGTGAAGACACTCTCTCAACAGCTCCCACAGGGCCCAGAAACCCAAGCCGTACATGTTGGGAAGAGAATTCCACCTACCGCTTCCTCGTGCTCCTTCCAGCAGTCATAATCTGTCGCCATGGCGATACTTGCATAGCAAATCCCAGCCTCCTTAGCGAGAACCACCTCTGGAACTGTGGTCATGTTGATAACATCTGCCCCCCAGGTGCGGAACATGAAGCTTTCTGCCCGGGAGCTAAAACGAGGTCCCTCGATTGTGACCATTGTTCCTTTTGAGTGGCATCGGAGTCCTAACTTTTTAGCAGTCTCTATGAGGACCTAGAAAACAAAGAACCACAAACTCAAAACATACAAACGTAAGTTAACAGCTTACTATTTTGCTGGGTTTTTTAAAAGATTTTATTTATTTATTGACAGAGAGAGAGAGAGAGAGATAGCAAGAGAGGGAACACAAGCAGGGGGAATGGGGGCAGGGAGAAGCAGGCTTTCCGCTGAGCAAGAAGCCCGATGCGGGGCTCAATCCCAGGACCCTGGGATCATGACCTGAGCTGAAGGCAGACGCTTAACAACTGAGCTACCCAGGCACCCCAACTATTTTGTTTTCTTTCCCCTCATGTTCGACTATAAATGGCTAGTACCTGCAGTCCCTCAGACAGCCTGGAAGATCACGGAAGGGTGTTTCCTAGATCCTCACCCCATCATATAACCCTGTTCCCCTGACCCCTTGCACACACAGCTTACAGCTACAAGAGCTGTAACAGTGTGTGCAAGTGAACAGTGAACTTCTTCTCTACACTAGGCATTTGTTTATACAGTTTAATTTCACTTATTTCTCAGCAGCTTGAAGAGACTAAGCTGGGTTGGGAACATGGACTTGAGTCTGAGTCATTCACCCCACAGGCTGAGCTTCTAAGGTGCCAATCCTATTCACGTCTCCTCAAAGACACGTTAAGAATGATTTCCAAGCTCCTGACTGGTCTTTCACACAAAATCTAAAGACTTTTATAGAAGCTTTTTTTTAATTAGAAAATGATTTGGGGGGTTCCTGGGTGGCTCAGCTGGTTAGCGTCTAACTCTTAATTTTGGCTCAGGTTATGATCTCAGGGGTATGAGATCAAGCTCTGTGGCTAGCTCCGAACTGGGTATGGAGCCTGCTTCCGATTCTCTCTCCGATCTCCCCACCTCCAGAACAAAGAAACTGATTTCTTCATAATCTCTTTTGCCTGTTGTCTCTCCCAAAGGCAAAAACAGAATGGGATTGTGCTGGTTTTTTCTCTGTAGGGATAAACTTATGATGGTGTCTTACTTTAATGGCAAGGCCACGAATGGGTTTTAAAAACATTATTTAAAAGTTTGATCACTTTTTCCAGTGACTAATTAATAACACACATCTAATTCTCAGGTTTTAATTTCTAGCCTGTGCTTCAACATTCCTTTATAATTAAAAAAAAAATTAACTGTTAACCCACTTAAGCACTGCCAAAAATTCACTTAATCTTTGTATGTTTTCATTTTCTCATCTGTAAAATGGGAATAATGAGATTGTATTACAGAAGTACCGTGAGGGTTAAATAAGCTAAAGAATAATACAGCTAAGGATTGTGTCGGGCACACTGTAAACACTGGATAAAAGCTAAACCACTCTTCTAACAATTACTAATCCTGGCACCTTCTACACTTGTTTGCCAAATAACTGGCAAAGATTTCTGAAGTACTTTATATATAAAATGGTGTGACTCAACGTCAATAAAAGCTCCAATTTAGGCCAAAGTCTAGCCTGCACATGTTGGAACCACATAAGCAAATTAACCTATTTTTTTAAAACTAATTTTCACTATGATACAGCAATGAGAGAAACAGTTTTAATAAGAGCCTTGGCAACACCAAATTTAGAAGTGTGACAAGTCACAGACAATGTATAAGTTGATGTTATATCATGTTTGTTTATACTATGTATGCTGAAAATAAGATTATGCTTAATAAAAACTTTCCCCTTGAGTACAGGTTATAAATTCGAGGGCCTAAATCACTCCTCCTTCGCCTCTCCCTCCCCCACCCCCAAATTAAAATATAGCCAGCCCAGTCTCATCTTCATTCAATGTCTTTTAAAATCCTGAATAACCAAGCCATATATTTTGGCCAAACTTCAGTACTTCTAGAAATGACTGGAGGAATACCACAACCACCTTGTACACTGGGCTGTGGCATGTTCCATTCTCACATCCCCCTAGCTGGGGGTGCCATGATGGTGAGGAAGAGAAAGTGAAGGATTATGGATGTGGACCAACCACATCCATAAGACATGGGGTCTTATCACTTGAACCAGCACTTTGCATCCCCACAACCACAAGAACAGACAGCTCCAACATCATGTATCAGTAATACAAACCACAGGCTGAGAGATCTCTGGGTCTGAGGCAAACATGCTTTCATTTGCATGTTTTGAGCAATAATAATGGAACTCCTGAATCTACCACCATCCTTCAAATATATTAACAATATTAGACCACCAAGCTAAATATATTTTATGTGTCTAGACTCTGAAAGACTTTGCTTCCGATTACCTCCTAAAATGATTAGAGGTGAAAATATTTTGGGGGTAGAAGTGACGGGGACAAAATATTAACCCCACGTATGTGACAAATGGTTTTTCTACCTCCCAGGATCTGGGGAACCATTTCACCTCCCCAAGGGAAACCACCAGCTTCTTTGGGTAAATTTTCTAAAAACACTCTATCTGCATGTGGATATTGTCATATTTACCTCTTTATATATAACACAAGTGGCAGAAATCTTGTTTGCCATTTGACAATTCACCCTGACAATCCTTTCTCATCCGTACACAAAAGGTCATGTGAATGTTTTAAGTTAAAGTGATCATCGCCAAGGGGCAGCAGCATCTACTCTACATTTCTGGACAATACTTAAAAATCTCTTTCAGAGTATGTAGGAATAAAGTTATATTCCGAAGGCTTATTTTTCCCATTTTCTTTTTAAAATATCTTTTATTTGACAGAGAGATAGAGCACAAGCACAAGCAAGGGGAGGGGCAAAGGGAGAAACAGACTCCCCACTGACCAGGGAGCCCAATGTGGGGCTCAATCCCAGGACCCTGGGATCATGAGCTGAGGGCACACCCTTAACCAACTGAGCCACCCAGGCGCCCCATTTCTCATTTCCCACCCAGGTGCCCCACTTCTTAAATCACCTTTGCTAGCATTCTTTTAGTCTTATATGGGAGAGGATGGGGGTCCCCCCTGGCTTGGCTAGACCAAGAATAGCTGAGTTAATGTGGTCTCAAGGGAGGCCAACTGCTATTGGAAATGATCCCCAATTGCCAAGCCACCACATTTGCATGTTTCTGCATACATCACTAGTATTTCCCCTCCCTTCCTTCTACTGCTGGTACCTGAATTCAGTGTTTTCTATGGTACATGATCTCAGGCCTATTCTTAGGCCGCCCCCATTTAGAAATGGGCAAGAATCTTATATACATCTAATTACCCCCGGAAAGCAAATGTATTACGGGGACAATCTGCGTTCCAGAGGGAAGACTAGCAGCAACCTTCTGATATATTCTGTTGATAATTACCTAGAAACATATATATCCCAAATACCCAAATACAAACTTAACCTACCATTTTAAAAAAATAAATAAAAAATATTTTCACACAAATCAGAGAGAATCAACAAGCAGTAATCTATCTAAAAAGGCTCCCCTTAAGTCCTGGCTTCAGAGATTCTAGATTTTTGTTTAAGACCACCGTGAGGTTAAGAAGCCCTTGTTGTTAACTCTAAGTTAAATACTTTTACATAATTACGCAGGGCTGAACACAAAAGCTGCAATAAATCATCTACTTTCCATATGCAGTGTTTAAAACTATCTGAATGAGTACAATGCTTAGATAATTCTGCTAAAGGGCTATCCCCTTAGTTCAAAGATTTTACTGTAATCCTGGAGTTTAGAAGGCTGGACAGTAATAGCCAAACTCAGCTCAAAGGCCAATGATGCCAATCTGACAATTCACACATTATCAAAAACTGAATTCTTAAAAGCAGTTAGCAGTTGCTGATGTCTCATAACTGACAGATACAGCTCAAAGCACTTTATAAATCACAAGTCACTCATTCATCCTTCACACAGTGCTGTGAGGTATACATTCTCATTATCTTCATTTTCCAAACGAGGAAACTGAGGCGCAGTGGCATTAAATAACTTATCCAACAAGACACAACTATTAAGAATAAGAGCAGAGATTTGATCCCAAGTAATCTGGCTCCAGACTGTCCACTCTTGACTAATAGGCTGTCCTACACTAAATGATATAAAAAGTATTCTGGCAGCAAAATCAAAACCTATGAAAAAGATAGGCTGCAACTTTGAGTGGCTCAGCTTATCAATGACTGAGAGTAGTGGAGGCAGTACTAACAAAGGGAAAGTCTTCTAAAAACCTTGTAGAGGAAGCAAGCTGGAGTGGGGAAGAGGGCCACTTGCTTGTCAGCCAATTAACTGAACTCTCTAGATGCCACCCCAAGCCCTTATGACTTATTTTGGCACACCTTCCAGAAAGACTACGAACCTCTCTCGTTTTAGGGCAGAACGGCTCAGCCATGGGAATATGGCACACTCCTCTGGTACAGGAATGACTTCCATCATAGAAGGTCTGAGGCCTTTTAGTGGTCCTACAAAATAAAGTGAAAAGGTTTTGTTTTTTAAAAAAGCCCTCAGTCCATCCTGTGGGGGCCGGTGAATCCACAGTAACCTCGGTCAACATCTTGGTCCTTGCTCTAGAATCGACAGCTCTGGATAAGCTGAAGGCAACTGCTGGAAAAGCCGCTTACAGGATGGTGTCCGGCTTTTCTGGCTCTGGGTTGGTAGCAACATGCTTTCCAACAGGAATTCAAGTGTGTGGTCTGGTGACTGACCAGACAACCACAGCAGATTGTAGGTACAACTCAACTTTGGGCTTGGGAGGCCCAAAGAAGTCACAATCACTGTAGACGTAGAGGGGTTGTGCAGTGAACCCAATAGATATCCATCACTTAGATTCAACAATGCAAACTTTGTCACACTTGCTTCATCTGTTAGCTTTTCCATGGTTGCAAATCTCAGACTTTGTTGTTTCACACCAACTTCAGAAGAACCAAAATATGTGGATTTTTCACTGTAATGTCATGATCACATTTGATAAAAATCAATTCCTCAATCCCAACTAACAGATGAGATGCAAGTTTCCCTGATGGCCTCAAAAATGTCTTTTTTTTTTTTTTTTACTTATTTTTAATTTTTTAACTAATACTTTTTTAGTTTCAAGTTCCAAACAAGGTTCTAACTTGCATTTGATGGGCCTCTCTC